TAACAGTAAATATATTTAACTCTTCTCTAAACGCTTTGGTATAATTTTCTCATATTCCTATAATCCCAGTCCTTGGGAGGTGGAAGCAGGAGGATCAGGAGACGTTCAAAGCCAGACTGGTCTATATGAGTGTCCTAGTTTGTCTCTCCATTGCTGTAACAAAACACTCTGACCAACACCAACTTGGGGAGGAAAGAGTTTATTTATCTTACATCTCCCGGGTCACAGTTCATCAGGGAGCCCAAGGTAGGAACTCAGGGCAGGAACCTGAAGGCAGGAGCTAGAGCACAGGCCATGAAGGAACGCTGCTTACTGGCTTGCTTCCCTGGCCCCAGTTCAGCCTGCTTTCTTATACAATACAGGCCCACCTGCCCAGGGGTGGCACCACCCACAGTGGGCTGGGCCCTCCCACATCACTCATTAAGGTGTCCCTCAGACATGGCCACAGGCCAGTCCAATAGAGGTAGTTCCCCAACTGAAGCGCCCTCAACCCAGGTGTTGACACTAAAGCTATCCAGCACAATTGACCCCTTGTCAACTTGACACACAAACATCACTATTAAAGCATAACTTTCCCATTTCTGTCCCCAGGATATGATGTTAATATCACAGCATAAGACAGCACAGCCTTAAAAATTCCCACAGTCCTTAAAAAATCCAAACACTTAAAAGTTCATAGTCTCTTTTAAAAAGTCTCTTAACTGTGGGCTTCTGTAAAATCCAAAACAAGCACTCTCTTATTTCAGAGGGAAGAATCAGGCGCACCTAAGCAAAACCGAAGTCCAGCAAAGTAACTCAAGGCTGGACATCAGGGATTCACTCACAATCTTCTGGCCTCCAAAGGGTCCTGGCAGCTCCACTGCTCTGACTCTGCAGTCCACGCACACTCAGCTCGTCTCACAGACCCAGGTCAGCTCCATTTCACACCTACTGCTGTCCTTGGTGGTTGTCCCATGATCCCGGCACCTCCAAAAAGCTGGGGTCTCCACTGAAACTGAGGCTACACCTTCACCAATGTCATCTTCTTGCCTCTGGGATGCAAAGCCTCAGATTCTCTCCATGACCCCTTCAACCCTGGGGTCTTCGCTGCAACTGAAGCTGCACTTTCACCTATGGCCTTTCCTGGCCTCTCAGAGTGCCAAGCCTCAGCTGCTCTCTGTGACCCCTTCACGCTTTCAATACCAGAACCATGTAGGAGACTCTTAACATATTACCAAGTCCTGCTTCCAGCTTGAAAGAGAGAAGCAGGTCCACTCTGTGTGCTGACCCTGAGGAAATACCTCCCAGAAGACTTCGCCACAGTGATGCTGGTCTCTTGTTACAGCTGATTTTTCAGCCCCAGCTAACCAGCATCAATTGTACCTGTAAAGCAAAGGTTTTACTTCATGTTCTGGTCTCTTCTTAATCACAGTTGATTCTTCCGCCCCAGCCAACCAGAACCCACAGATTCTCAATTCAAAATATCACAGGAACAGCCCTGATAGTCTCCGCTTCCCTTTGAAGCTTCACAAGCCAGGCCTCCATCGTCTACAACTCTTTCAGCATGGCTTTTCCAAGCTCCACAGCAACAGACTTTGAAGATGTCAGAAAAAAAGCAAAATCATGAGGTAAATAGATGGAACTTGATACAACCATCCTGAGTGGGGTAATTCAGACCTAGAAAGACAAATGTTACATGTTCTCACCCATAACTCTTCATTGCTATGACAAAATATTCTAACCAATACCAACTTGGGGAGGAAAGGGTTTATTCAGGTTACATCTCCCAGGTCACAGTTCATCAGGGAGCCCAAGGTAGGAACTCAGGGCAGGAACCTGGAAGCAGGAGCTGGAGCACAGGCCATGGAGGAATGCTGCTTACTGGCTTGCTCCCTGACCCCTGCTCAACCTGCTTTCTTATGTAACACAGGCCCACCTGCCCAGGGGTGGCACCACTCACAGTGGACTCGTCCCTCCCACATCACACATAAAGAAGATGCCCCTCAGACATGGCCACAGGCCAGTCCAATAGAGGCAATTCCCCAACTGAAGCTCCCTCAACTCAGGTGTGTCAAGTTGACACTAAAGCTATCCAGCACAATGAGCCTTTGTCTCAAATAAACAAACCAACTAAAACAAAAAACAAAACAAGCCCATCTTTTTCTTACCATTTAAAGGCTTTGAGTTCCATCACCAGCACTGCAAAATTTGAATATTCTTTGATAAGAACAACAATTTTCTGTTAATCAAAGAAATTCATTAGAGATTAACCTATAATCAAAATGAAGACAGTATTAATGGTTCATTATCCTTTATCAGCTAATATGACAGTTTATTAACAGAGGTTCATCTCTGGAGATAGATATGCTAATGATTCAAAGTATTCTATGTCGTGGACTTCTCTGACATACGGTTACTCTGATTTTGATAAAATTGGCTAAATTTTTCTTTTATCATATAAAAATAGGAGGGTATTAAGAACTGCCTCTCCAGCTATCAACTGCCAATAGCTCCTCAGTTAGGGACAAGAACTCAGATGCTGAAATTTTTGCTGGTTTGGGCTTCTGTGGGTCTTATTCAGGTAACCACAGCTGCTGTTGAGTTCATGAGTGCAGTAACCATGTCATGTTTAGAAGTCAGCATTTTGCAGCACGCCTCCCGATCCTCTGCACTTATATTCTTACCACCTCGGCTTCCAGGATGTTCCCTGAACTTTGGTGGGGAGGGTTGTTTAATAAAGATGTCCTATTTAGGGCTGAGCACTCACAGTCAAAAATTATTTATTATTTAATTTTTTTGAGAATTTCATACATGAGTACTATATTTACATTATTTCCATCCCTCCCTCTCCTCCAGCTCCTCCCATTCCAATCTTTGTAAAATTCATGACCTCTTCATCTATAATTCATATACTGAGTCCATTTAGTGTTGCTCATACATGCATGTTTTTTTAATTTTTTTAATTTTTTTAGAAGAAGCATTTCATTACAGCTTTAACATACTCAATAACAGTTTCCATAGCAAAGATACATCTCTTTCAAAAGTGCCTACAAAAATTTTAGGTTCGCTGTTGAATTAATACAGTTATACAATATTGAACTCAGTATAAGACATAAAATTGAATGAGTTTTTAACCTTTAAAAAAGATCTCCATTTCATTTTAAAATATACTGTTTCTTACAGAAGACTCATTGCTTTTGCTAATAACACTGAGATGTTGGTGCATGCATCTCTAATCTGTATGTATCTGATTATTACTAGTCATAATCGGTTGCACTGTGTTTAAGTCTGACCATTTTCACTTATTCTTTGGTCAGTCATGAGTCTCTGCATTGACTGCTGCCCACTGACAAGCTGAAACCAGTCCAACTCTATGTAACATAAATATTTAGAAGGCAGTTTGACAACATGGCCATTCAGAAAGAAAACTATGACTTGACGAAATTACTTTCTCTTCTTTTCTCGGCATATGTTCGTTACGATATGTGGGTTTCATTATGAACCTTTCATGCATTCGCTTGCTCATCTTTCTTATCCCTTTCTTATCCCCCCTTTCTTTTCCTCTGATCCCCTTCCTCTTTCTAAATAGTGGCCTTCTACTTTGCCGTCTTACACACATGTATTTTAAATGTAGCTTCCAGACATGAGGAAAACCATGTGACATTTGTCTTACAAGTTTGGCTATTTTGTTTAGCATGATCCTCTCCACCTCCATTATTCTTACTGGTTTATTTTTTACTTAACACACAGAATAATAGGTTTTGTTATGGAATTTTCATAAATGATCCATTTTTGTTGATTTCCCTCCAGCTGAACTCCATTGTGTCTATGTGCCGTATTGACCTCATCCATTGATGTGCTGATGGCCATGTAGTCTGATGACACAACTTGGCTATTGTGAGAGGTGCCATGACGAACAGGAGTGGTAAATGAAAAAAAAATGACAGCCTCTCTGGGTTTTTGTCAGTTATGTACAATAAAGCACTGCATTCAAAGCACCTAACAAACAATCTGACCATGGCAAGCAAGCAGTGAAGATTCTATTTACACACCCTGTGTTTTACCACATGGAGTTGGTCTCCATAATATTTTTTTCAGAATGTTTGGCATAGTTTTGCTGTTAGTTATCTGTTATATTTTGTTTCTAGGAATAAAGTAATCCACACATAAGAATGTTTTCTAGTCTCACTGTGTTTCATTTGAACAATCTTTTTTTTTTTTTAGCATCTTGGTATATAATTTCATGCAATTTCAAGTCTTTCTTTCAGTGGCTTCCTTTTGTTCTGGACAAGTTCCAGAAGCACAGTCAGATCTGAGAACTCTTTTCCAAACTGAAGATGTTGCCAGGCAGTGAAGGGAAAACAGAGTCTTTCCTGCTGACTCAGCAGCATAGCTGCCAGATGCTTTGGTCGGCTTGCGGAGAGAAAAACAATATGAAATTGTGAAATGAGATGCTTTGGAGACCACAGAATAGTGGTGTCAGAAGTGAGGTTTGCTTCTCTGGTGTTCTTGGTAATGTGTGTAAGGATCATCCATAGTCCACATGTCTGAACCAGGAGCAACCTAACACCACATGAGACATGCCAACAAGAGACTCCACTCAAGTACCAAGGGGACTAGGAAGTCAGCATCTGGAGGCCTCCAGCCCCATCACTATTCAAAAAGAGCAACTTCCGTAATCTGAAGCTTTGTTCCATTGATCTTTCCTAAAATGCAAAAACATCTTAGATCACTTAAGCCCAAAGTTCTTAGGATGAGTTTCAAATCTTTTCCCAAAGCAGGTTTTGATGGGGGGAAAAGAATAGCTTGAGACAGCACATAGCACAAGAGAGACACCAGTTCCAAAAGGGCAAAGCAAAGAAATGGGCGGCTGAAAGATGAAGCTTTAGAACCACACGGTCAGATCCAGTTTAAGGGCATGGAAGCTGTGAAGGGGTAATTAGAGGTAGTGGTGATGTGCTAGGAACCAAGGCTGCTTACAAACACCTAGATCTATCACAGAAAAGTCTGCATTCTAAGAGGGAATCGAGGTACCTCTCAGATACATGCAGGTTAAAGCTTCCTCCGAATGGAAAACAATTGCTTTTATCTAATGGCAATTGATGGAGCTTCTTGGGCGTTACAGAAAGATAGAAGTCAGAGAAGATGATGAGTTCCCACCTGTTGGCAGCAGTTCCTTCATCCCGAGTACCATTATCATGTCAATTCAACTCAACAAATAATTGCTCAGCATCAATTATGAGTAGGATATTGCACTCGATACCCTGCCAAATATAGAATTCTATAGGGAGATGGAAGCTCTTTTATGCAATTTCTATCTGAGAACGTTTCATTGAGGGGATATGAGGAAGCCTGTGGCAGGGATTCTTATAAAGAACACCCCCCTACCCCATCCCCAAAAGGGATTATTTGCTATGAAACTGGGAAAGGGAAAGAGCAGATAATGCCGCAGGCTGACTCATTACAACTTTCCAACCAACTTTCTTTTTTAAGAGTCTCTCTGATCAGGGTAACCAATTTAATGTGGATCACTGAATAACCCCAAGAAAGAGATGTGACTATTTACTTCATAATACATTCACAATATGCAATATGTTCAAAAACCAGGATTAATGGCAAAATAATTGCTTAAGAATAAGGCTCTAGTAAGGACCCCTTAAAATGATGCGCTTCCCAGAATATTACTTACAAGTTCAATTAAACAATCCACTTATTTATTTCAGTATGCAAATTCTTCTTCACATTTATAAAATATGCACTGTACTAACTGGATATCTTCTAAGCCTACAGTCTCCTTCTAGAAGAAACCGCAGCTCAAGCTCTGTGGAGGAAAATCGGTCCAGACCATTATTCTCTACTCTGTCTGGACATTAGAACCACTGAGGAATTTTTAAGGTTCTTCCTCTCTAGGTTCCAACTCAAGATTCTAATTCCAAAATTCTAGTTAACCTTGGTGTCTAATTTTTAAAAGCATCATGAATGATTCTGTTCTGTAGTCAGAGCTAAGAACCATTGCTCTAGACCATTCCATAAGCTTGGAAGACCATGCAAATTATGAACATACTCTCTCTTAATTCCTCATATAAAAGTAAATAGATTAATTAGTTGCAGTAGCCTGTGTCAGATTCCCCAAAACCAACCTTATATTCTGAAATTTTCCAGTACTCGCAGGACTCAGGACATAGTTGGACTCATGGTTCAGATCTATTACAGTAATATAATCACAAGGACACATAGTCAGATCTTAATAAAATAGGAAAAAATAAGCAGAATCTCAAGAAATTCATGCACAAGCTTCTATGTTCTCTCTTTTTGTGGACACTCAAGTGTGCTACTTTCTCCAATGATTTAAAAAAAAAAAAAAAAAAAAAAAGACCCAACTCTGTAACCTGTGTGATGTCTCCCACTGGAGACACTCAGCCATTGCTGCGGCTGGTCACATTTGCTCTTTGCCTAGCATGTACCAAACTTCCAGATCCTCTGAAGTAATCTTTCCACATAAATCATATTACTTGCACAAACAGTATAGGAACAGGGGACCACCCTTGTCAGTTCTGGGAACGGTAGGAACACCATACAAAAGTCAAAGGCCAGTCTTGTAGGCTGGTCTTTTTACAGATAGCAGCCTGAGGACACAGCCCAAAGCAGAAAAGATGATCACCAGTTAAACCAATAAGTTCTCAGGAATCTGACTGAAAAATGAAGAGCTTCTGATGACTGCTTTAGAGACAGGTGATGAGAATGAGCCACAAAGAGAAGCAGCCATTAAGAGCATGGTTATCGTGCTCCAGTGGCCCACATCCATGCATATATGGGAAGCACATGTTGAACTCAGTAGGGCATTAAAAAAAAGAGAACATAAAGTTGGGAGGAGGAGTAGGATGGACGAGGGGGACATGGGAGGAGTTAGAGAGAGTGAATATGATCAAAATACATTGTATCCATGTGTGAAATTCTCAATGACGTAGTTTAAAATATTGTTTTTTTTAATTATGTATATATTTGTTTTACTTTACAGGTTTTTAGCATTAATTAAATTCTGTAAAAAAGCAGATCAGTTAACTAATACTTTTTTTTTTTTTTTTTTTTTTTTGAGACAGGGTCTTCCTGTAGCCCCAGCTGGTCCTGGAACTCACTATGTAGACTAGGCTGGCATCAAACTCATAGAGATCCCCCTGCCTCTGCCTCCCAAGTGCTGGGATTAAAGGCGTGTGCTACCACACCCTGCTTAACTAATACTTTTAAGAAAAAGAACTTACAGTACATGTAAATGAACTATATACAATATTTTTGTATATGAAACATAAGTACAAGTGAATGTGCAATGGTGAAAAACCAGCATTCTCTTCTGAAATTTCTGTTAATATAGCCTTTACCATACAGCTCTTTAAGTTAATGCCATGTAACTTGTCTTCAAATGGTCTGCCTTAAAAACTGGAAAAAAGGGGGCTGGTGAGATGGTTCAGCGGTTAAGAGCACTGACTGCTCTTGTCCTTAACTCTAGTTCCTGAACTGTCCTTAACTTCAGTTCCAGGGGAATCTGACACCCTCTTCTGACCTCCACGGCATTGCATGACACGGGTGCACTCACATGCATACAGGCAATACACTCATACACATAAAATAAAAATAATAAATTTTTTAAAACTGGAAAAAAAGAACACGGTTGAGGCACATCAACAATAACGCTCTTAACAAACCAAGGTGGTGAAAATCCAGCAGGATAACTCAGCTTTTAAAGCACTGCTGGTCCTTCTGTTTTTCAAATACTGTTCCATTTTTTCCCCTGCAGCCAATCATTCTAGCTGTTCTTGGTTTTCCACGAATGTTCCTCTTTAAAAAAAAAAAAACTTTTTTATTATTTTTTTTTTTAATTTTATGTGTATGTTTGGCTGGCATGTGTGTAAGTCCACCTGCAGACACCAAAAGACGGCATCAGATCTCCTAGAACTGGAGGTACAGACAGTTATTAGACATCACATGGGTGCTGGGAACCAAACCAGGGTTCTCTGAAAGAGCAGCCATTGCTCTTAATCACTAAGCCATCTCTCCAGCCCCTTAAAAAATACTTATCTTTTTAAAATTTGTTTTTATTGAACTTTTGTTCATTCTATACAGAACATCTCAATCTTAGTCATCTTTATACCTCCATCTCACAGCCCCCCCCCACTGGAACCCATATACTCTGTCATCTCTGTTAAGGCCCACTGTGTCAAGTCAGTGTCCCCAGGCATTCCCCAGTGCAAGTCCATCCACTGAGGTCTAGTCAGCCTATCTAGAGTCCCTTGTTTTAGGAAGATCAGCTCTTCCTCACCTAGCAGCAATCAACTGCTGTAAGATTGGGGTCTGCTGTTATTTGCCCATTTCTCTGCTGGTTTTTGTCTGCCTAAGTTTGCATGGGACTTGTATATGCTGACACCATTGCCATAGAATCATATGAACAAGTTCCCAGAAGCTTGAAGGACTCTATTTCTGTATGGCCATGCACCTCCTTCCTGTCTCTTGCAATCTTTCCGGCCCCCCTTCCATGATGGTCCCTGAACCTTAGGTGGGTGAAGTTTAATAAAGGGGTCCTGTCCAAGGACCAGCATTCAGCAGACTCTTGATCTCCACACTTTGGTCATTTGTGACCTTTTGTGTTCCTGGCCCTCTGTTGCATGAGGGACCTTCATTAATGAGAACTGAAAGATTCATTAGTGTCCTCTTCTTTATCCCTGTTCTATATTCCATGAGCCTTGGGTGTAGACCTGGGCAATTCATAGACAATATCTGTGTGTGACCAGTTGTGGTACTTGGTAATAGTCTCAAAAAAAAAAAACAACAACAACAAAAAACCCCACTTGTCTTCTGTATGTACTCCAGTCACACAGAGGACCCATCTCAGTAAGAGAGCACTTTCCTAGCATACACAAGGCCCTAAGTTCAATCTCCAGTACCAGGGGGGAAAAAAAAAGTCACCAGCCGGCCAGAATGAGTCTTGAACTTTTGATTCCTTTTCGCTAAAAGAACTAACAAACCTACAGATCACATGATACAGATTCAAGAAGAAGAACCCATCACCAGCTAAAAGAAGGGGTAAGTGGAACGTGAACTGATTTCATAGATGAGGTTTTGTGAAACCACAACCACCATTGTTAGAACACAGTCTTCTTCTTCCTCTTCCTCTTCCTCTTCCTCTTCCTCTTCTCTTCCCCTTCCCCTTCCCCTTCCCCTTCTCCTTCCCCTTCTCCTTCTTCTTCTTCTTTTAAAACACACTGTCTTCTACACCTCAGGGAATTTCAAGTGAGCAGTGTCTCTGCAGAAATCATTGAAAAATTAATTGAAAAATTTGTCTCTGGGTCAAATCCTTCTACTGATCTTTCAGTGAACAAATTCCTAGAGAAAGGAATATGGGGTTTTGGTACCATAGACACAACTATCAATCAGCTACTGGTTATTGACAATTATGTTTGCTTTGTTCTGCCTAAACTTTGCCACCTATTTTGCAATGCATAGCTCAGCCCAGCTCTACTATTTATTGCAATTTGTGGGATACATGTATGAGACTCAGTCTCTTCTTTATTTCCAGCACACTCAGGTAAACCATAATGATCCCAGTTTCTACTTGGGGTTCATATCCAGAGCACTGAGTCTTATTGAAACAAAAATAAAACAAAAACTATGAGAGGTGTGGTGTGTCAGATCCATGTGTGGCACAACTGATTTGAACATAATGTCTACAATCATTTTACTGCACATATCAGACAATTTTCTTTTCAGCTAATATGATTTTTTGATTGGGGAATTTTGTATGCTTTAATATAAATATTAAAGGGCAAGTTCTTCAACCAGATATATCTAAGAAACAAATTGTTCAATTGTTTGAAAATTTTGGTCAAGGAGATCAAGGAGATTTGGGTCTCATGACCCCAAAATTCAAAGCAAATAATTAAGAATTATCTAAAAACACCTTGTTCTACACAACTTATACATATATATATATATGTGTGTGTGTGTATATGTCTCACCTAATGTTGAGATGAACATATCTCTGAACTGAAAAATCTCTTTAAATAGTTCACACAAATATTCAGTTCATATTTATGAAATGCAAGATTTTTTTATCAAAAAAATTAGCCCTTTCCTTTCTCTGTCAAAAGATCACTATGCTATTTTTTGTGTGTGTGTTCCACAGCCCATCTTTCTAGTGCCAACATTTTCCATCACCATTACATATTCTTTCTTTCATAGTGGTTGTTGACTCAAATAAACAATAGAACTCTACAATAGGAAGAGATATTATTAACCATCAGAAATTCAAACCTCTGGTTGGAGGAACTGGAGACCCTGCAAGAGGTTAAACTTATCCATGCTCTCCCAGCTGCTGAGAATTAGAGCCAAAACTAGAGTTCTGCAACTCCCTGGCTAATTTATTACCAACATGGACTCTTCATCTTGGTCTTTTCCAGTGCAAAAGAAGCCAGGCTCCAGGATTGTGGATCAGTGCAGGCTATCTTTATAGCTTTTATCTTTTCCAAAGTCTGTTGTCATTCCCAGAAAATACTAACATTCACCAGACTGTGGATTTGTGATTGTGCAATAGATAAATACTAGAACACTCTCAGAGTTGCTCATGTTTCCAGTCTAAGATCACATGCTTCTGAGGAACAGGAAGTTGTACTCCAAATCTGTACTTTCGGATCTCTAGGACATCAGCAAAATGTATTGCTTACTACTTACTTGAAATATAATTTAACCTTCAGTTATTTTTAATATTGTGTGTCTCATGACAGTATTTAAGTTAAAGAAAGTAAATATTACCTGTGTGATTTTTAATGCAAAAGTTAGAGATCAGTAACCTATCACTAATCAATGGAGAACTTAGTCAACTATTGTTAACAATATAATATTGTTTCAGGTTTGCGTGTGATGGAAGGAGGCAAAGCAAAACAAATCAAGATGGTCTCAGATGAGTTAATGTGCAGAAAATGAATTTCAGAAATATATTGATAATGTGTAGAAAAATATTTTAAACTCTAAGCATTGTGCCTTATGGTAAATCTTACAATGCCATAAGAACTGATGAGTGACAGGAATTCATACAGATAAGGTGGTCCGGTTTATTTACACTGACTAGGCATTGGTGCTTAGAAATAGAAAGCTATTTTTTATTTTAAAAAATAAATTTTATTTTTTATTTTATAGTATTTTATTAGCATTGCTTTCTTTAAAAATTATCATGATTTCATTGAAATACTTTGTATAGGTTGAAGAATTTGGAAAATTTGAAAAAAGATGAATGCCAAACTCATAGAGAAACAGTGACAAAGTTCACACTGTTGTTGAAACTTGGTACAGTTTTGTCAGTAAACAATATTTTTAAATTATAGTAGACACATAGAATTTTGAATGTATATAACAAGATATAATTTCATATTTTTAGTTTGAGCTTTGTATCAGTTTGGTTATTATAGAACTTTCTCTTTTTTTTTTTTTAAGTTCCCAGACTGTGATTTTTGTCTCTAAAATTTCAATTAGGGCATAGGTAAAGGCCTACTGGGGCTGTAGAAAGGTAATGAAAAATAAGGAAACCTATTGGTGCCTGGTAATGGGAGAGGTCCAACATCAACCCCTGGCTACCCAGGACCAGGTGTGGAGTGAGGACCACAGCTGGGCCTCAGGGGAGGTAGGAAGTCCATTCCAGAGAATCAGTCCTCCCAAGACCAGAATCTGCAAATAACAGTGGGTAAGAGGCAAAGCCTCTGCCATGCACAACTTGAGACCTCAGAGGAAGGGGCTGTGGGGAATGTAATCAGAGACGACTGAAACTGCTGCCCAATATCAGGAAGTTCTCCATGTTCTACTGTGCTCCTATCTACTACCAGGAGGGGACCACAACTTGAGTTCACAGGAAGAGACCACAACTCTGGCTTATGGTGGGGAAGGGAGGCACTGCTCCACCTCCCAGGACACAGCTCCAGTTCACTAGGGGACCACAGGTCTAGCCCACAGGAAGGGAACCATAGCTTCAGGTTCGCGAGACGGGATTACAACTCCAGGCTCAGCGGAGGGGACCATATCTCTAGCTCACAGGAGAGTACAGCTCCAGGCTCACGAGAGGGAACCATAACTCCAGGATCACAGGAGGGGACCACGGCTTCAGATTCACAAGAGGGGGCCATAGCTGCAGCTCACAGAAGAGGACCAGAGCTCCAGTTCACAGGAGACCACAGAACCAGGCTCACAGGAGGAGCCGACAGAAAGCTATTTTCAACTCCAATGTCTATTAGAAAAACAACCCACCTTTGTTATCCATCTTTTTTTTATTTCTAATTCTTTCATCTATACAATGAATGGCCCTGAAAAACATCCTTATGTATACGTAATGCTTTGCTGGGTATTGCAAAAGAGTCAACCACAAGCACATTACTCAAATTCTCAAGTGCTATTTCTTCATCAGTGAAATATGAAAAACACCTTTCAATTTTTGGTTGTTAGCCTTAGCCTTTAAATGGCTGTGCCTCCTTATCTCTACATGAGTCTTTGTGTACAGCTGAAGGCTACATAACAAGAAACAGTGCATGACAGGAGAAATCTTTGAGTTCTTGGCAGGGGTAGTCCAAGAGACTCCCAAAATTACTCAGGCTATTGCCACAGCCTTTGATGGCATCCCAAAACTTGAAAGTAAGACCCCACTGCTGAAGACAAAACATACTTCAGACACAGGATTTGAGGCAACGGAGCTGGAACTGACCTGAAAGCCATGTCCCCTGAAGGCTAGCTCTCATAGCTTTGGAGAGCACTATGCAAGTTGCTAAGTGAGAACATCAGTCAATGGTCCAACACCAGCTTCAAGTCCAAATAACCACATCAGTGGCCAGCACAGCATACATCATTGGTGCAGTAGTGGCACTTTTATCTTGGGCCAATCAACAGCTACTTAATTGGACTAAAAGCCCACTCAATGGGAGGAAACTCAAGTGTAGTACTATAAACATAGGTAAATATACATGGCTGGAGAAAACCCCAAGATTGTCACATCCCTAGACTAATATGATTTCTTACTATGTGCAAAATATGTATCCTTATTTACAGACAAATATCCCAGTCACTACTCATCAAAGAAGCTTATTTTGCACCAGTGAGAGAATATTACCAAGTACCACAACTGGTCACACACAGACTTTGTCTATGAATCGCCTAGGCCTAAGTGACACATCTACAATGCAATTTCTATACATAAAGCTCATGAAACATAGAACAGGGGTAAAGAAGAGAACACTAATGAATCTCTCAGTTGTCATTAATGAAGTTCCCTCATGCAACAGAGGGCCAGGAAAACAAAAGGTCATAAATGGCCAAAGTGTGGAGATCAAGAGTCTGCTAAATGCTGGTCTTTGGACACGACCCCTTTATTAAACTTCACCCACCTAAGGCTCAGGGACCATCATGGAAGAGGGGCCGGAAAGATTGCAAGAGAGGGAAGAGGTGCATAACCATATGGAAACAGAGTCCTTCAAGCTCCTGGGAACCTGCTTATATGATTCTATGGCAATGGTGTCAGCATACACAAGTCCCATGCAAACTCAAGCAGACAAAAACCAGCAGAGAACTAGGAAAATGAACACCAAACCCCGAACTTACCTGAAGAAATATTGGCAGCTGATTGTTGCTAGGTGAGGAAGAGCTGATCTTCTTAAAACAAAGGACTCTAGATAGGCTGACTAGACTTTAGTGGATGGATTTGCACTGGAGAACGTCTGGGGACACTGACTTGACACAGTGGGCCTTAACAGAAATGACAGAGTATATGGGCTCCAGTGGGGGCAGGGGGGTTGTGGGATGGGGGTATAAAGATGATTAAGATTGTTTGAGATGCTCTATATGAAATATACAAAAATTCAATAAAATAAATTTTAGAAAAAGAAATATGAAAAACACACCAGATAACATTAGATACTTCTAATTCGTATTCTGCATGACTCTGGTGTACTCCAAGATTTTTAAGATTCTTACTAAATTCATGCAATCTGAAGCCATATAACTTGTACACCAATAATAATTTAAAAGAAAAGTATAATATCTGATTCTGAGGGGGGTAGATCTTTTTAACCCAACACAGAGAATGGGTACAGCACATTTCCTTCTGAGACACTGGCTCAATCAGTGCACCTAGAGACACGGACACACACCAAAATGGTGGCAGGCTGTTCTACGAAATAGCTTCAAAGGCCATTCAGACCCAAGCCTGTCCTCTAGAGTGAATCTTCCACCCCTGTACTCAGTTGAGAATCATTAAATACTCAATTAACAATAGTAGTCAAATGAGATGATAATAAGCAAAAATTGGAAAAAAAGAAATCTAATTTAAATATTATGTGCTAGATGGCACAGATGAAAGGCAAACAAACCAAAAGTTGTAGCTCTTAGGGAGCTTATACTATAGTAGACCAGATATTCTATAGGATGCTATGGGACAAAATATCAGAAAAGATAACTCAAACTGGTTTACATAGTAAGGGCTTTCGTTAGCTGGTGGAACTAAATGTATAAAGTAGGGCAGACATCAGAGTGCTTAGTGACAAAGCAAACACCAACTGGTTGGTTCCAGAGAACCTCTGATTTTCGTTCCAGCTCCCCCACTTACTAGCAATATGGCTTGCACACATTGTTCAACTTCTCCAAGCCTGAAGTTCCATATCTGTAAATAAAAGAAAATTGTGATAGCCCCTACATCACAGTGTTACCATGAAGACTAACTAGAATGATGGTGATTAAAACAAGCCCAGTGCCTCAAACATAATAGGATCCTAAAGCAATAATTATATCTACCTTCATCATGATTAAACCCAACAGCAATGATCAATGAGACTTTTTAATATATAATGTTAAAACTCACAGCTCAGCTTGTGAAAAATAACAAAAAGTTGACTGAAAGGAGATTTGAAGGCCAAGTATGGCGCCCACACCTGTAATCCCAGCACTTGGGAAATAGAGGTAGGAGGATCAGGAATTGAAGGTCATCTTTGGCTATACAGGGAGTTCAAGACCAGCTTGGGCTGCATAAAATCTTTTCCCAAAAGGAAAGAAAGAAAAGTGATTAGAGAGTAAAAAATTTTCAAACTGTGGTAGCAGAGTAAAAAAATTAGTTTGGCTGAAAAAGGAAATAGAGACAGCTTAAGGAACACCTCAGGACAGAGACATAATTTTTAGTTTGAGCAAAAGCAAATTTTTAAATAGCCAATGAACTAGGATTCTGAAGAAGTGAAGAAACAGAAAATCCTAAAGAAAGGGAGACTTGCAAATTATAGAGGAAATGGACCCTGGACATGGCCATGGGAATTTGCCTTAAGCAGATGATAATGGTAATAAAGATTTTAATTATTTCATTTTATGTTTACTGTGAGTAAACTATGCCAGATACCAGGCCAAGTTTCTCTCTCTCTCTCTCTCTCTCTCTCTCTCTCTCTCTCTCTCTCCCTCTCTCTCTCTCTCTCTTTCTCTCTCTCTCTCTCTGCCTCTCTCTCCCTCTCCTCCCCCATGTGTATGTGTGTGTATGTGTTTCTCTGTTTCTTCTCTCTCCTTTCCCCCTTTGTCCCTCACCCCCTTTCTTTGTTGACCCTCTGGTTAAGAGTAAAGCTGAGTGTTGTGAGTTGCTGAATAACACGCAATAGCAAACAACTCAATGTGTGCACAGGTTTTATACTAAGAACTGCCTGATAACTGCTCAACTTGGGTAAAGAAATGAGAAGAGGTACGTGTTCTGAAGCACCTGGAGACACTGGGGTGGGACTTTGTGTTTGTAGAATCCATGTAGTCCAGCAATTACATGAAATTAATTAGTCTATAAAATAATATACATCCAGAAGCTACAAAGAAAGAGTAAGATGACTGGGAGAGAGGTAATACTGAAGGAGAATTCAGTGGAAGACTTAAATTCTTAGATTTAAGGATTGCAATGCATACTAAAATAAACAAGCAGCAATCCATTCCTAGGTACATTAGGATAAAAGTGTAGAATGCCATAGATAAAGAAAAACTTGGTATGTAGGACAAAACCACAAATTACTAACAAAAGAACAATTAGACTAAAGCATATTTGTCAGCAGAAAAAAAATCTAATAATTAAATAATGTCTCCAAAATATTAAATGAAAATATCACTAAACCATCAATGAAGAAGAGCAATAAGCCAGGTGTGGTGGCGAGTACCTGCAATAACAACACTTAGGAGGCTATGGACTGACAGAGGACCGCTGGGTTATAAGCAGGCCTGAGTTACACAGCCTTGCTGTCTGAAAATTTAAAAAGAGAAGGGTGAAAAAGAAGAGAGAGAGGAAGGGGAAGTGAGAGAGGGAGAAAGGGAGAGAAAGAGAGGAAGGGGAGGGAGAGAAACCTATGCATATGCCATATCCCATGAGTGACATGCCTTTTTTAAATAGAGATGTACCTTAGAAATAGGCCATTAACTATTAAAAAGGAAATAATAAAGTATAAGACCCACATTGATTGAAGAATTTCGTAGATGTTTAGATAAAATATGCGTGACTATTTGTAAAATAACAACAATAGCTACTGAAGGGAAAAATCTTAAAGTAAAACTAAAATACTGGACAAAATAGAAATGAGGGAAGGTGTTTAAAAATAAAGTATTCTGTCCATTATCCTGGTTCCTGTAGTTATGTCCGGATAATACTCACTTATCAGGATTTGGTTCTAGGGTCCACATATGAGGGAGAACATATGTCGATTTTTTTCTGAGTCTGTGTTACTTCACTTAGTATAACAGTTTCTAGTTCCATACATTTACCTGCAAATTTCATGATTTCATCTTTCTTTACTCCTGAGTAAAACTCCATCGTATAAATGAACAACATTTTCATTATCCACTCATAAATTGAGGGACACTTAGGTTGCTTCCATCTCTTAGCTATTGTGAAAAGAGCAGCAACAAACATGGATGTACATGTGTCTCTGCAATAGGATGAGCTCTTCGGGTATATGCCAAGGAGTAGTATAACTGGGTCAAATGGTTGGTTCATTTGTAGTTTTTAAAGTGTTCTCCATATTGCTTTCAATAGGGGTTGAACAAGTTTGAAGGCCCACCAGCAGTGGATGAGTGTTCCCCTTTCCCCACATCCTCTCCAATATTTGGTGTTATTTGTTCTCTCGATCTTAGTCAGTCTGACTGGGGTAAGAGGAAATCTTAAAGTGGTTTTAATTTGCATTTCCCTAATTACTAATGATGCTGAACATCTTTTAAGATGCTTCTTAGCCATCGTTACTTCTTCTTTTGAGAACTTTCTGTTCAGCTCCTTAACCCATTTTTAATTGGGTTACTTCCTGTCTTGATTCTCTGTTTTTTGAGTTCGTTATATATTGTGGATGTTAAACCTCTGTAAGGTGTGTCGCTGGTAAAGATTTTCTCCCATTCTGTGGGTTTTCTCTTCACTTCCCTGGTTGCCTCCTTTTATGTACAGAAGAGTTTTACCTTAATAAGGTCCCATTTGTTGATTCTTGGCCTTGTTTTCTGAGCAATTGATGTCCAGTTTAGGAAATCTTTTCCTACGCCTATAGCTTGTAGAATTTTGCCAAAGTTTTCTTCTAAAAGTTTCAGAGTCTGAGGCTTTGCATTGAGGTCTTTGAGCCATTTGGAATTGACTTTTGTGCAGGGTGAAAGATAGGTTCCCTATGAATCTTAGGATGGTTTTTTCCAATTCTGTGAAAAAATGTCATGGGGATTTTGATTGGCATTGCATTGAATCTATAAATGACTTTTGGTAGGATGGTCATTTTCACAATATTAATTCTTCCAATCCATGAGCATGGGCGGTCCTTCCATCTTCAGATGTCTTCCTCAATCTCTTTCATTAAAGATTTAAAATTTTCATTTTAATGTCTTTGGTCAGGTTTATTCCAAGATATTTTTTTTTTTTACACTATTGCGAAGGGCAGTGTTTCCATGCACTCTTTCTCTGACTGCTTGTTATTGGTATATAGAAAAACTACAGAATTTTGTAGTTTAATTTTGTAACCTGCCACTTCACTGAACGCGTTAATAATTTCTAAGAGTTTTCAGGTGGAATTTTTGGCATCTCTTAGATATAATATCATATCATC